GCTGATAGTCATTGACTTCAATGGTATGGAAAGTATGCTATGGAAGTCAATGACATTCTTCAAAATATCTTCTTTTGTGTTCAACAGAAGAAACTCATACAGGTGAGGGTGAGTAAATGATGACAGAATTTTCATTTTGGGGTGAACTATCCCTTTAAACCTAAGGCCTAAGATGGTTGCTGATCTTGTTCAGTCACTCAGCCTGGTCAGAATGGTTTGTTGGCTGGGTTTAGAAGTTCAACCAGGCCAGGCTGGGAAATCAGACCAGCTTGGCCAGGATGTGAGATCTAAAATCAGCTAGGACTAGCAAACAAGCATCTCTTTGCAGCATCCTTTTCCCCAAACATATCATGGAAGTATTTTTAACCCTTGTAGAAATCCATCATTGGCATCATGTTTCCTGCATGTAATTATACAGAGGGGGCATAAAGCGAGCACACACACACACACACACACACACACACACACACACACACACACACACACGTCACTGCATCTTCACATCCTCAGGAAATGTGTTTTTGAGAGAGTAGCGGGTGTTAATAGATTTCAGATCGCTTGCAGCTGCTCACAAAGTGCTTCAAAGTGAAGAAGCGCTGGATGAAAGAATGCCCCGTCATCTGTCACAGCCCTCTTCATGGGATAGAGACACGCAACACTGTGGGCTCGTCCCAAAATACAGTCCTCCACAAGGTCACAACTGCACGCTAATTTCCTCAAGGACTTAACCTTGAGAAGATTTGTTTCCTCTGTACTGAGTAGTTTATTGACACGATGAAAGACAAACTTATGCATAAATGACATAAAGCTGTATGTATTCACAGTCAAACAAATGCTTTCATGTAAGCTCTACCACATATGTATAATTCAACGACTGACTGCTGTTAATCAAGTGTGACAGCCAAAGGCATTTCTTGTTTGTTTTTTTACAATCTCTTGGGGGGTACAGGTGAAGATGAAGAACACCTATACTTGTAGATATCTAAAATCCTAATCATCTTAATCGAATAGATCTGTATATATTGTCAATTATGTTATGTTTATACAGGGCTGCGTCGTCACTTTTCACCTGATGTTTTTTCCACCTCTCATTGGCACTTTACTAAGCACCTGCCAGTTTTATACGGGAAAAAAAAACTGTTAAGGTGTAATAATGCCTCTGATTTAAATTTTTTTTTTGACATTTATAAGGACATATTTTTCTAGCCATTCACTCTGTGTCATATGATGTCAAATAATTAAATTCAAATAGTTAAATAATTAAAATTAGTTTGTTAAAATAAACAAACTAATAAAATAAAATACATTTCAACTCATATATGTGATAATACGTAAACTATAGTCCATAATATAACATTATGAACCATATCAGGTTTTACAAATAAAAAGACATATTCATTATGGGGTATTTCGCCCTCTCACATTATAAATTTCATGGGCTGATATCACCAAAACTGGCATTTTGGCTGGATCCCCCATTACATTACATTACATTTAAAATATAAATGATAAATGTATTGTCCCAGTAAACAAAATTCAATGTATATGTGTAAATGGTTGGAGAATCTTTGAATAAACATTACAGACTATACTAGGTTTTATAAATAAAAAGAGATTTTCATTATGGGCTATTTCACCCATCCACATTATGAATTTCAGGGGCTGATGTCACCGAAATTGGCATTTTGGCCTGATTCCCCATTATATTGCTATATTACATAGTATTACTGTTTTTACTGTATTTTTGTTTAAATAAATGCAGCCTTGGTGACCATAAGAGACTTCTTTTAAAAACATAAAAAAATCTTGTTGACCCTGAATATTCCAATGGTAGTGTAGTAATATTATATTATATTATATTATATTATATTATATTATATTATATTATATTAGTGTTAAATATATTTAAAATATAACATTATTTAATATAAACAGATTGTCCCAGTAAACAACATTCTGTTCCACTGTACATGTTGGAGAATCTTCAAAATAAAAGTATCTGTTAAAGTAAGTCAATCACACACATCATGGTGTGCATCATCTAAAAGTGAGCTTTAAAACAGCATATAATATTGATCAAAACATCCAACTAACTCTATAAATCAGTGAATTACGAGGGGGTTCAGTTCTGAAACACTGATTGGTCACATGGTCACCCATAATTGGGCATAAGTGGCATCTGGGAAGTAGAGGCAATGTGGATTTTTTTTTTTTTTTTTACATCAAGGAGCCAGTTGGCATATGGTGAGACCTTTGAACTGTTCCTCATACTTCACTTATTGGCATGGTGTCATGCTTGATGTGGGGAAACTATACTGCTAGTCTGTTCGGAATAGGTTATGGATAAAAGAAAGAGAGAGAGTTTGTGTGAAAGAGACTGTATGGTAGTTTTAACCTTTTTAGACATGGTGAACTGTGGTGATTGGACGTGTATGTGACACAAAAATGACAATTTTGCCTGTCTTGTGTATTTGTACGTTTATGTATGTGTGGTTGTGACTGCATTTCTGCCAGATAAGACAAGCCTCACATCACAGTTCAATCATCTGAAATAATTCCTTTGTTTTCAGTTACGGAAGTTAAAATCCATAGTCACCAGAACAGCAGCACAAATCATTAAAGTCTGGTCTTGCTCACATTTTCAGTCAAATCATGCAGCACAACAAGGGGTTGCTGCATATATAGGAGATGGAGTGAACAAACTGAGTGTGATTGGTTGGCAGCTGTTTAGCATACTCTCCCTGATTGGCTAAGGAGCTGACATTGATGGATTGGTCCTTTACTGATTGGTTCCTCTAAAAAATGACGTTCTCAAATGCAGGGCAGGGCTAAACTTATGGGGTGTGGCTAATTTAATGTGTGCTGTCAATCACCATGGGCCCTCAACACAAAAAGAAATTGTTTACAGTTTTTACCGCCAACATTTTTGTTTAAAACACATGTACTGCTATATTTATGATTATCAACTCAACACAGTATTTCATGCATACCAAATGTACACACAGTTTCACTTTTAATCCAGTGAACAATTTAACAATTTCTCTATTTACCACAGTGGAACTAAAGAAAAAGTAGGGAAAAATCCAAATCAGTAAGATTACACCTGAAAATGAAAGTAAAATAACTGATGAAAACCTATTTTTCAAGCTTTAGCAAACGATTAATAAATCAAGTGTTCATGGCATCCTGGCATGATCCTCCAGAATATTAACTATTACTCAAACTGCTGAAAGAAAAGTATGAAATTATCTTAATCGTCCGTTTCTTGGAAGAGCCGAATAGTAGGCCTATGGTGTATTTTGGAGGCCTGTGTTATTTAACTATCATGGTCCTTTCCTTAAGTATCGTACCAAATTACACCACGCTGTCATATGGACTTAAAATCATATTAAAATATGTGTTGGGCTGGATCTCGAGATCTCATGAAATGAATTCATCCATGAAGCCAGGCGCTTCAAGCAGACCCAAGGCCGTATGGAAGGCCTGAGCTCATAGAGAGACGGCCCACGTTTTGTCTCCTGTTTCTCGTCAGGTCGCCTGCCAACTCTGCGTCACCCAATCAGGGCGCCCATTTCAAATAAACACCCGGATCCACTTGGTGCGGCGAGACCCGCCATCTGCCCAAACAGAGCAGGCGTAACCTCGCGAAGGGTAAACACGGCGACAGGGCTCTGAATGTATGAGGAGAGCCGTGGAATGGAGAGGTTTCACAGAGCATACAGTCAATGGGAAAGAAATCAAGGGAAAGTGTGTAGGCAAAGTCGTTTGGAGAAATAAATGATAAAGTTTTCAGGCAGAAAGCCACAGCGGCCTCCACTTAAATAAGTCAAATGTCAAAGTCCAATTTGCTAGTAGATGACAACCATAGTAGCCTAGATATCCAGCTAGAGAAAAATATTGGTAACACTTTACTTGAAGGAGTGTGCATAAGACTGACATGACACCTTCATTCGACATAGCCTAACTTAAAATTTATTTTGTTGGTGTAACCTATTAGCTGAATAATAAACCAGTTAATTTAGATCTTATCACATTCTTTTACTTTCATTTTCCTTATTGTTCCGTATTGTCGGTCATTATTGAATTCTCAAAATACCATGTTAGCTGTTGCAATTTCAGTTGTATTTGTAACCTTTTGCTGCATATTTTACTGAAAAAGGCCAAAAATATACAAAAATATCATTATCACCAAGCTGGCTAGTCTCTTGATCTTTCCAACCACAAAGCATTTGAATGTGCCATACTCGTTATTAAAGCTTCAGAAGTGCAATGAAGGATGCATTGAAGGTAGCATTACTATTAGAAATATATATATATATATATATGTGTGTGTGTGTGTGTATGTCAGACCAGTTTAAGTGTTTATGTAGTATGTTAGACTAGTTTAAGTGTTTATGTAGTTAATAAAGTCTATGAAGGATGCATTGAAGGTAGCATTACTATTAGAAATATATATATATATATATATGTGTGTGTGTGTGTGTGTCATATTAAAATGATTTCTGAAGGCTCACGTGACACTGCATTAGAATGTCTGAAATTAATATTTTTGTTATTACGAAAATGGTTATGAAAATGTTCTTGAAGAAAAAGTATACCTATCATGTAAAATACTTTTTATGAGCAGGATTTTAATAAATTGATTGCTTAATGTTAAAAAAGTTGGATTAATTCCAAATTTTCCTTATATTATAATCATTATCACATCATGTAATCGTCGCTTTAACGTTCATTGTTTTTGCTTAAGTTAATACATGATGTTAACTAACTGCATAATTTGTATTATCTCATAACTGTAAATTTCTGCCATATGAATATATTACTCTATTACGAAAATGCGTGTAGAAACAAAGCTGCTTTGAAACTATATTTATTGGGAAAATCGCTAAAAAAAAAGAACAGAACAGAACAAATATTAAATCACACATATTAAAAACCTGTGCTACATTATTATTGGCTGTTTTTACAGCGAGTCTGTGCATCAACCTTACATCCAGCAGAGGGCAATACAGCATCAAGATGCAGTTGGACCAGACAGACCACAAAAGAGTTTCTGAGGCCTTTTTCAATAATTCTGATTAAACCACCTCATATGTACACTGTGTTTCTGGCCTTGCCTTGCCTTGTGTTACAGGTTGTCCATGAAACTTCACGAATCTGAGATATATGAAGGTACAGAGTGGTGCCTCTTCTTCAGTCACTTTCTAAATTGTTATGTTCGTTTTTAAGTATGGTGAAATGTCATGTGATGGACTGTATTACTGAGAGTTTAGAGGTGGTATCACATGCTCATATCTTATGGGAAAAGATTTTATGATAACATAAAAAAAAATAATAATATGCTCCATTAATTTAAGAGGCTGATTTGTTAAGCTACATATTCTTTAAAAAATGCATAAAGAAAAGGTCTTTCTCTCACTTTCTCTCTCTCTCTCTCAAACCCCAGGGCGGAGAATGAGATGATTGGCTATCTTTCCGTTTCGTCATGCAAGAGGCAGGGCTGTCACAGAAAGCTGTCCTTTTAGGGACATAACTGAGGCGGGCAGGATGGAATGAGTGGGCGTGATAGGGCGATTGTGTCAGAGAAAGCAAGATTGACAGGAGTGACAGCTCCATTTATTGGCTGCTAGAGTCTAGTCAGCAAAAGGGCATTCAGGGCCACCGGCTGGCTCTGCTGGCGGCCTGTTCAGTCGGCGCCTGGTGAGTAAGCATTTAGACAACAGCCCTCACCGCTGCAATGCATGGGAGAAATATCTCTGTCAACACTGACTGTGATCTTTGACGGTGCCTCTAAAGAGGAAGGTCATACATATGAATGCAATCTCTGTCACACTCTTTTTCACACACACTCTTGCACATAAACACACAAAACCAAGCCTGACATAAACTGCACATAATGCCATGTTGTCAAAGTTCCTTGGCACAAAGATTCAGAAGTAAATAGCCTTGACTAAATGTTCAGAGTCCTGACCCTAGAAACATGTCGCTGAAATTTTCTCAGCACAGTTTGTTTTGAATGTTGTCTTTGTTGAATGATTATAGCTTTAACACATTGACTGTAATATCATTTCATGTTTGGTGTTTTATATTCTTGATCCTTCAAAAGTAGTGTGGAAGCAGAATGAGGCTTCTATGTCACCCAATGCAGTCTTTTGATTTAATTCAAATCAGGGTTGTGTGTCATTCAGAATTTCAGTGAGAACGCCTTTTAAATTCCAATTTAATTTTTTTATTTGAGTTGAGGGAGCAAACAGGAGGCTGAATTGCAATTTGAGTTTTAAATAGTTGAATTGTAAAAGAAATGTAAAAGTTTGTCAAGACAAAGGAAACACCATGAAGGCAAACTTTGAGTGATGGCTTGACAAAGCCTTGTTTTAAAGTTCTGAAAGTCTGAAAGCTTGACAGCATTATAGGCTTACAGAGAGATCAATTTAATTTATGTAATAAATATTAAAAAAGTGTTCATCTGTATACAATATTGTTCAAAAGTTTGGGGGTTAGTAAGATTTTTGAGTTTTTGAAGGAAGTCTTGAATGCTCACCAAGGCTGCATTTCTTAGATCAAAAGTACAGTAAAAACAGTAATATTTCGAAATATTATTACAATTTAAAATAACCGTTGTTTATTTAAATATATTTTAAAAATGTGGAAATAGGAATTCTCAGCAGCCATTACTCCATTTTTCAGTGTCACATGTTCCTTCATAATTCTATTTTGCTGATTTGCTGCTCAAGAAACATTTCTTATGGTGTGGCCAGAGCAATTAAAATTCCAACCCATTGATTGAAAATGAGTTAATTCTCGGTTGATATTCAAATAATAAAATCACGTTGTAAAAGACAGTTTTACTTATTATACCCCTGAAACAGTTTTCAGGAGATGTATTGACATTACTGACAGTGTAATATTTATTTAATCTTTTTTGGTTTCTCTTTGTCTATTTCCAGTAATGCACGAAGCCCTGGAGTCATAGTAAACAGCATCTCTAGTACTTTAGGAATTTTATCCAACATGGAGGATGAAGAGATTTCTCCTGGTGGGTTCTGGGAACTCTGTGTATGTGATTTCTGATAAAATAATCCTGCAGTTGTAACTTTGGTCAAAAGTTCCCTGTACTTGTTGCGCTTGGCTAATGAATGTCTATGACGATATTTAACTCACAATTTTGGCTTCTTTGCACACACATCCACAGGCACAGATATACACACATCAAACAAAAATCATTCTTTTATATATGTTTGCATAACCTTTCCATCAAACAAAGGTGAAAGAAAACAAACACTCTCCAAAGGAAATGTCCTCCTAAAGGAAACACGCTCACTTGGTGTTACAGCATGTTTTGGTACTAAAATATTTGTGTTTCGGTTTTTTAGAAACATCGACGTCCAGAGGGTTGCGACCTCAAAATGAGAAAACTGGTGATGTTACAAAACCCTCAAAATGAATGGGGATTACGCTTAAGTATTTCATACCAACTGCCATAGTTATAGTCAATATTATATAGGAAAGGTTTCACCACCATCAGTCCAGGACTGAGATGCAGTGTCCTTCAGGCTAATAAAAGTAGGCGATTCATGTACTTAGAAAAGGGCCACAGAAAGTACCACCTAATATGCTAAAGCTGTCATGATCAGAGAATCACTTAATAAGGCACATAATCGTAAGAGGCGGCCAAGACCTCAGATGACACTAAATCAATTGGCAGACGGTAACTCCTCAGGCGGGCCACGGTACCTAAGCTCTGAGTTATGACTTTCGGGGTGCCCCAGGGCTCAATACTCGGCCCACTCACACTTCTCTCCGTCCCAACTTTACCCTCTGGACTTAATTCATTTTTCCCTTGCTGGATCTGGCAGGTTGCGTGTTACTTGGCACCTCTCAAGTCGCCGGGCCAGCAGTATGATTAAGGGAGATGGAGGAGGATAAATGGAAAAGTACAGGAACGGCGAGGAACAGTGTTGACCTAGAGGGAAGAACCTTGCGCTAATTCTTTACATGCTGTATGTATCTGGCAGGGAAAGATAAAAGGTTAAATGTCTCAAGAATCCGTAAGTACGTCAGAAGTGTTTATTTGGTTTGTCCAAGCGTATACTGAAACAGTTGTTTGCGAAGGAAATTGAAATTATAGTACTGCATAACCGAGCTATTTGCTGTGGAGGTCTTGCTTAATCATGTCCATAGCTCATGTTGTATTTGGTGTCAATTCCCATCTGCAGATGATACCGCTAAACGATGAATGGCAATCAGATGTTAGCTGTTTTTGAACAGAGTTGGAGATCGTTTTCGTACAGTAATCATGAGAAAATGCTGCGCAGAGAATTGCTTTCACTACAAAGAACACTTAATCCTTGACACTTCTCCGTCTTTACCAACATGCGTCTCACTCATTGTTCGGTTTGTGCTCATCCCGACAAGAAGGCGTTAAACGCCAGTGGAGCTTTTCCAGGTTAGCTTCCCACATTCTCCTCACTAATCAAGAGCTGCCTCGCAATAACGATAAATCTCTCATTTTGACGTGCGGCATAAATAAAGCAAACAGGCCTCGGTTTGATTACCCAGACTCCCCGTGAACAGACGGGCATTTGAGTGGCTCTGCTATTTATCAACCTGGATCTCCCTTCCTCTCAATCTCTCCAGCACTCAAAAACGCCGTCACTGATTGCGTTTAATGTCTAACACATGGCCTGGCCAAGCATTCCCACTGCTGCCCGGGGAGGTGTTTGGACTGATTAAGAGAACTGTTTTTGCGGCCAAAGACTTGGGTTGTGAAACCGAAAGGTTTTGGCAACGCGGCAGAATTTCGGGTGTAGCTCTAGGGATTCGAATACGGCTGCCTCTGTGGTTAGCGGACAGAGTTTCTACTCTTGGAAACTTGCAGAAGCATCCAAATGGGGAAGAAATGGCGTATAGCAGCAATTACTTAATATCCTGAGGAGTGTTCCTCACTTCAGTGCCTCACCTTTCTCTCTCTCTCTCTCTCTCTCTCTCTCTCTTTCTTTTTCTCCTCCATCCATTCAGCACTTCTCCCTTTTTGCTGGCTGCCTGGGGTCACATTTAACCTGGAAGTGCTCTGATTGGGCCGAGGGTCACTTCACGGGCCCCCAAATTGCCTGCACCCATCCATCACTGTCAGGCCATTATTAGTGCTATTATCATCAAAGTCACAGTCTGAATTATAGCGCATGCAAAAGCTGCGCCGCTCGGACTTAACGGTGACCTGAGCCAGGATGACAGCGAAAAGGGTTGAGACCTAACCGATGACATCACTCTAATTCCTCAAAGGCAGAAACGGCTGACGCTGAACAGAACTGTTCTGGGAGAAAGTTTGCAGGTTGCACAGCTTCATGTCGTCTTGAAACTCTCTGATTCATGTTAATAGACGACCATAGGCCATAGGATCTGCCTGCGGATTTATAAGCAGTATAAAGTCTAAAAGGTCTTGTTTCTTGAAGCAAATGCAATGAGTTAGATGTAAGTAGTTAATGAGAAGCAGCATTTGACATGTGGGAAAGTTTACTTACTGTAAATTCATTAATTTAGCAGCAGGTGCTTTTAGACAAAGAAAAATACAAAAGAGGAATGCTACAACATAAGTGATTCATTCTAAGACTAAATAAAGTAGAATATAAAGTTAAAGAACAGTTATAGAGATTATTTTGTTGATGCTTATGTGCTTAAAAGGATAGTCCACCCTAAAAATTATGAAATTCTGTCATCATTTGCTCACCCTCATGCCATTGCAAACCTGTTTGACTGACTTTCTTCTAAAGGAATGTTGGTAACCAAACTGTTTTGGTTCTCATTGACTTCCATTGTTTTGGTTTTTGTCCATACAGTGGAAGTCAGTGGGAGCTGAAACTGTTTGGTTACCCACATTCTTCAAAATATAAAAGAGGATATTTTGACGAATGTTGGTAACCCAATGGTTTTGATTCCCATTTACTTTCATTGTTTGTTTTTTGACCATACAATGAAAGTCAATGGGGACTGAAATTGTTTCATTGCCAACATTCTTCAAAATATCCTCTTTTATATTCCACAAAAGAAAGAAAAGAAGTCATACAGGTTTGGAACCAAATGGGCGAGTAAATAGTTAAGTGTTCACAAAGAGTTTTGCGTAGGTGTGTTTTTAGGACATTCGACCATCAAGGTAAGATGTGAAAGTATATGTAAATGATTTTGTACTACATCTGATTTTGGATAATGAAATTAAACATAAAGAAACTATACTTTTTGCCTTGCATTCGTTTTTAAATGGACATTGGCTGTGAATGCTGGATTTGAATGTTTGCGTCTTAAAGGTGAAATGTATCATCTCTGCACCACAAAGAATTGCAAAACTCATATTTTTTGCTCACTAAACCGTAATAGAAGAAAATATTTAAACATCCGAATGTACAAAAATGACTCATCTTCAAAAAAGAGAGATCTAACCCTCAAAAATCAGGTTTTTCCCATCAAAGGCTCACAAAACCCCTGTCCGGCACTCCTCCACATTCAGTGCTGCCCTGGACACCGAATGGCCTGCATTGTTTTGTACTCATGTGTCAGTTTATTTTGTCCCTTTGCGAAAGATCTTAAGGCAGCGCTGTTGTCCTTTTAAATTAAGCTTCTCTATATGCATGAGCGGAGGGGGGAGAGAACATTGGCAACGGAGGAAAGAAGTGCCATGGTGGGGAGTCTAATCAAGTGACAGACTGCTGAGCGGGCTCAAAACACGAGCTGTCCATCAGCGATAGGTGAGTGTGAGAAACAACGCAGTCTTGTATGCAAGTCTACAGACAAATGTTAAGAGGTGCATTTAATACAGCTATTATAGAATGTAAGTGTGTGCTCATTTGTATTATCCTTTTTTGCCTGGGTAGCTGGCCCACCTTTCTGATCATTATATAATTTTAGGGCGCTCCCAAGGGTTGATGGGAGTAAGGTCAGAGTTCAAATCTGACGCCCCCATATGGTCAATTAAATCCCACTCAGTGCCCAAGCAGGGCCTCTTTCTTTATGGCACTTATTTACTCTTCTATTTTCATTATGTACAGAGAAGGAAAGATGGAGAAAGAGAGATCAGGAGGGAAGACAGTTCTTGTCTGTTCTTGATGCATGAGCTCAAAGGACACAAATTTCACTAGGTTTGGGAATCATAAGGACCTTAATGATTTTAATTCTGATCCTGATTCTAACGATTTCAGTTTATTGAGAATTATTTTAGTGATTGAGAATATTCCACCTCCACAATAATTGGTCTTATTTAAATTATATTACTATTTATAAATAACATATGATTAGTATTACTATAAAATATTATTTAAAAAATATATTTATTACATGCACTGTTGTTTAAGTAGCACCTCCACAATAATTGATATTACTAAAATAATAAAAATAAAAAATAAAAGGTCTTAAAATAATTATAATATGTATAAATAGTTTATACGTTTTTCTATATTCTATAAATTACATTCTTATGATTTTTATTAATATATTACTATTATATAAAATATAAAAATATTTTAAAAATCTTTTAACACAATTTTTATTTATTTATTACATGCTCTGTTTTCTGGTCAAAAGGGGAATTATAATCCACAGTGTTCTTTATTAGTTAAGAGATGTGCAAATAAAGTGCGCTAATTAATTTATATATATTTTATTTCTATTTTTTTGTATTTTTGATTTAATTAACTTTGAGACATATGCAACCATGTCATATGTTAACTGGTTAGGGTGCAAAACTGTTTAAATAGTGTTGGCACTTAATAACGATGCAAGAAACATTGTCAAAATATTTTTGAACATTGTTTTGTTTTGCTCACTGGCTTCATGAATGGCGTCATTTGGTTCTAGTATTTTATTTTAGACGGACTTCAGATCAGATCCTTTAGTACAAATTCTCATGCATAAGCAAGTCTGACAGTCACAAGACAGACTTCAAAGCTGCTCTCAGACTAAATGGGGAATGGCAGCCTGTGACCCAAAAAAGAAGCTTTATATTGAATGTG